ACACAGGTATACCTCCTTTAATGTGCTACTCTGTATATGTACACAGGTATACCTCCTTTAATGTGCTACTCTGTATATGCACACAGGTATACCTCCTTTAATGCGCTTCACTTTATTGCACATAGCACACATTTACAGATTGAAGGTCTGTGACAACCCTGTGTCCCGCTCATCTATCAGCACTGTTTTTCTAACCGCGTGTGTTCCTTTTGTGTCTCAGTGGCATTCTCGGTGTCTATTAGTATTCTCACAATAGCTCAAACTTTTTCATGACACCATTGCACACTTGATAAACTCCAGTCTAGTGTCTATGCCCTGGGAAGCCACCAATTGTGTAGCTCTTTGTGTTGCATGTAATCTTCACTTCACTGTGGTGGTCTAGAACTAAGACCATAATGTCTCTGAGGTACACCTGTATTCATTTCACCCTCATGTCACCTTATAGGTAGGTACGAATTATCCTTATCCCATTTTATTGATGAGGAAATTGAGGCACCATGAGTAACTGTCCAAAGTCCTCTGCTCTTAGCCATTACCTCCTGTCCTCCCAGTACCTTCCAGAACATACTTATGCACAACTGTCTACAGACTGGTGGGTAGGTGTGAATAAAGGGAAGAAGGAAGAAAGGGAAGGGGTTTTTGTGGTCTGCATTTTAACACAGGGCAGGTCAGCCTTATGGTCCTCTGTACCTGGTCATCTTGACACAAAGGATGGAGACGAACTGCCTCAGACCTGTATCAGCAAAAAAAAAAAGGAAAAAAAACAAAAACCCCATTCAGCACACACTGCTTAATTAAGCACACAGCAATATATGCAGTGCCATTTAGAAAGATTCTCGTTAAAAGTGGATCATTTAATTTAATTTTGTCTTAAGCTCAGCACAGAAAAGAGGGCACATTTCCATTCTTCGGGTAATCACAGTCTCTGCCAAGGTCAGTCCCTTGGGGCCTTGCATTCCTGTCCCTGAGGGTGGGCTGAGCAGGGCCTCCTTGAGATGGGATTTAAATGGAGGTAGCCTAGTGGCTGTCACGGTGTCTTGGATCTGTGGAGCAGCTGCCTCAGGGTCCAAGGAGAGCCACGCAGACACAGACTCATTTCCCTGCTGCTTTGTGGCTAGGATCCTGGACTTCCGCCGAGTCCCTCCCGTGGCAGGCAGGATGGTCAACATGACCAAGGAGATCAGGGATGTCACTCGAGACAAGAAATTATGGAGAACCTTCTTCATCTCACCAGGTAATCCTGCACCTGGTAGGGTGGGGGTGAGGGGCTTCTCAAGTAGCTTTCTAAACACTCGCTAGTTTTGAGCTCTAGGGGTAGTGGCTATGTGCCGTGGCGTTGGTTCTGACTTAGAGAGAACATGTAGAGGGTTTCTGAGGCTGTAAATGTTTGCAGAGCAGAAAGCCTCATCTTTCTCCAGCAGAGCTGCAGGTGAATTCAAACTGCTGACCTTGTAGTTAGCAGCCTAGTTCATAACCCACTACGCTACCAGAGCTCCTTAGCTGGGCACTGCTGTTACAGCTTTTTAACAAAAACGAAATCACCCTACACTGCTTGTCTTAGAGGTTACCTGGGGCTGACGTAACAAAAACGACCACAAAAGTGGGTGGTTTGGGGGACAAACTTTTCACTCCTCATAGGATGCTACAAGTATGGATTCAAGGTTTCAGCTCTGGGTGGGTGGGTGGGGCCTTCTTTGTCAGTAGCTCTCACATGGGACCTATTTTCCCCTCTGTGTGAGTGCCTCTCACCCTTTGATGTCACCACCCTAAGGGATTAGGTATAGGACCTTCCCTCATTAACGTAACAAAAGAAACCTCCTATTTCCAAGCAGGGTTATATTTAAGGTAGAGGGGTTAGAACCAGCCCGTGGTTCTAACCAGCTGCGGTTATTGCTGTTCAATGCATCAAGTCAGTTCACAAAACACTGCCTGGTGCTACACCAGCCTCACATTGTTAGGTTTGAGTCCAGTGCTGCTGCCCACTGCGTCAGCCCATTTCATTGAGGGTCTTACTCTTTTTCAATGACCCTCTATACATAACTTTGGTTGCTACTGTCAAGTTGGTTCCTAAGGTTCCCAAGGCTATAAATCTTTGCAGGAGCAGAAAGCTATATTTCTCCCAAGGAGCAGCTGGTTAGCGGCCAATGCTTATCCTAAAGAGTCACAGTGCTCCCCACACGGTTCAATCCATAAACCACTGTTCTTCAACCTGCATCTTTCACTTCCCAGTTGACCATGTGACCCCTTGCACATCAGCGCGCATGAATTGTGATCATGTCAAAACGGGTGCACTGACATTCTCTACCAAGCCCCAGTTGTTGGCGCAGAGATTGTTTCTAACATGTCGTTATTTTAAAAGACAAAGTGAATGTGCTTTTGGAAACTTTTTAGTCTTTCTAAGCCGTCTTCTTTGGGTTGTCCAGACTGAGAAGATCTCTACTTTCTAAAGTCCCACCCCCTGGGTTTGAAAACACCCCCACAAGACCCTTGCACAGTTATAGGTTTCATGAGCCCTTCTCTTCCTCAACTAAGTGTTGAGCAACTCGACCCCAGAAGCAGGCTCCACCATGGCCTGGTGCCCCTCAAAAGTTAGCATGGGACACCAACATACGAAACCAAAGCCTTTTGCTGTTGAGTCGATACCCAGCTCATAGCAACTGTATAGGACGGAGTAGAGCCTCCCTCAAGACTGTCATCTTTATTGGAGGCTCATCTTTCTCCTATGGAGTGGCTGGTGGGTTCAAATCATCAACCTTTCCATTAGCAGCTGAGCACTTAACCGCTGCGTCACCAGGGCTCCTTCTCCACATACAAGATGCATACTTGACATGCTGAGATTCATTTGTAAACACATTAAAATCTTCAAGGTATCCATAAGTCATAGTCCCTTTCATTATCTGCCCCCAGGTTGTTTCAGAACTGTCACTTGGAGGCTCCACTTATACATCTATCTCTCCTTCCTTCATTCACCTGCTAGGCAAATGCTTGTGAATACCTTCTTGGTATCAGGCACTGAGTCAAGCTACTGTGTAGTATCCCTTGCTCGGTAGGCCTGAGTTGTAGTAATTGTTGTTAGGTGCGATTGAGTTGATTCTTACTCATAGTGCCTATGTACAACAGAATGAACTACTGTCCAGCCTGGCACCAAATTCCCAGCTGTTACACTTGATTCCATTGCTGCTGCCACTCTGCCAATCCACCTGCTTGGGATCCTTCTCTTTTTCACTGACCCTCCACTTTACCCAGCATGGTACCCTGCTTCAGGGCCTGGTCCCTTCTGATACCACATCCGAAGTATGAGAGATGAAATCTGGCCATCTTGGCGAGTTGTGGAGTTGCTCCTTAGTCCTCTCCAGGACTTTGGACATTTGCATTCATTCCCTGGAAGATGACTGAGTGGTCTCAGTGATGCTAGGTAGCACACAATGTGATACCCTAGCCCAAGTCACTGGAATCACACCAGGCATGGACACCCATACTAGGATATCATCTGACCACTCAGCCTTTCATCTAGATAATGTTTCAGCCACACATGTTGCTTTCTCTTGTGCAGTTGATAAAATCCTGAAATCAAATGCTTAGCTTCTTCCCAGTAACTTTTTTCTTTTTTTTTTTTTTAAAGTGCGGACAGGCCTCATTTGATTGCCCATCACTTTATTGCCCTTTACAGGTCTCTCGTTTTTACAAATGAAAGGCTGGTGTGTCCGTACCATATAGACTTTTCCAACCGCATGTGCTCCCCTGTGTCTCTGTACCACATTTTGATCACTTTCAGAATATTTCCAATTTTTTCACGCTGCACACATAATGATTGCAGTATAGTGTTAACATAAATTTTCATACACACTGTTGTTGTTGTGATGTGCCGTGGAGTCAGTTCCGACTCATAGTGACCCTGTACAGGGTTTCCGAGGCTGTAAATCTTTACGGGAGCAGAAAGCCTCATCTTTCTCCTGCGGAACAGCTGGTTGTTTCGAACTTCTGACCTTGCGGGTCACAGTAAATATCACAATAAAGCCGGCCACCCAATATTTTTGGATTCTTAGTTCATACACACTAAGAATCCAAAAATATTGGACGACCGGCTTTATTGTGATATTTACTTTATTTCAGTGGCTCTGGAACACAACTCAGCATCTGTAAGGTCTGCCTGTACAGACTTTATTTTTTAGAGCAGTTTTGATTTTACAGAAAATCCCATATGCTTCCTTGTTTCTCGCACACCATTTCCCCTATCGTTAGCATCTAGCACTCCTGTGGACCATTTGTTATAGTTAATGAACCGATATTGACACCTCATTATTAACTCAAGTCAGTGGTTTACTTTAGGGTGCAGTCTGTGTTGTTGTTGCTGTTGTTAAGTGTCATCGAGTCTGTCTATAGACGTTGGCACATGCATAATGTCACTTGTCCACCATTATAGTATCATACACAATCGTTTACTGCCCTAAAAATGTCCTGTGCTCCACCTATTCATCTGAGTCCCTGGCAACCATTGATCTTGTCACTGTCAAAGTAGCGTTTGCATTTTACAGAATGTCAGAGTTGGAATCACATAGTTTCAAGCTTTTTCACACTGGCTTCTTTCATTTAGTAATATGCATTTAGGGTTTCTCCATGTCTTTTCATGGTTTGATAATTCATTTCTTCTTCTTGTTGCATAATAATGCTTCATAGTATGAATGAAGCACAGTATGTCCATTCAACCACTGAAAAATGCCCTTTTGCATCATTTTTCTTCCTCTGTTTTGAGGTGCTCAGGTTGGCAAAGTCTTACAAATGTCTTCACTGTAGGAATCACCTGCCAGTTGGCTCTCCCTCCTTGACCTCTCATGGGGAAGAAGGAATTACCAGAGTTTTCAGCCACACTACTGAGGCGACTTTCTTGGTCCTTACAGAAAGCCATGCATGGCAAGCCCTCCATTTTCACTCCAATTTTCCAGGCGCTGGCTGGAATGATGGCAGGTTCTGTCCAGGCTTGACCCTTGCTCTGGCTTTATCTTGGTTGTCTTATTATTAACTCTATTCTGACCACATATATTTTCCACCTCTGGGGTTTAGTGGGAAACAGCAATCCCACTATTAGTGCATGCTGCCATCTGGTGGGAAGCTGTATAACTATATGAATCTGAAACAACAGCAATAAACAAACCAAGTCTCATCTCACCAACTTCAGCACTAGAGGTCCCTCGGGACATATGTGTCCCATGGTGCTTCAAATCTACCAGCTGGTCCTCAGAAACCCTATACAGGGTTGCTATGTCACTTAATAGTTGTGTCAAAATCCATATTACCTCAAAAAGTTTTTCTTTTTAATTTAATTCAAAATGCCTTTCATTATCAAAAACACACGGTTTCAAGAAAAATAAAAGCAAAGAAAAACTCAAAGTGTAAATTAATTTTGTCTTGAAGGGTTAAAGTGGAAACGACAGCTTTCTACAGACCCTGCCTTCTATAGACCCTGAACTCATCAGATTCTCCAGGGAACCAGAATGCCAGTCCTGTGGGCCCTGGGCTCTTAAACCAAACAGAGTTGCAGCTTCTGGACTGCGGAGGGACTGGGGAGTCATGTGGGTTCAGGGGCCCTGGGAGGATTTGAGTGATGACCCTTCCTTCTCCCAGGATTTTAAGGGAGCCCCTGGGGGTACAAACAATCAATACTTTCAGTTGCTAAGAGAAAGGTTGAAGGCTCAAATCTATCCAGCGGTGCCACAGAAGAAAGACCTGGTGATCTCCTTCCAAAAAATCAGCCACTGAAAACCCCATGGAACACAGTTCTACCCTGATTCCCACGGTGTATTGTGAGTCTGAGTCAGCTCAACAGCATTGGCTTCTGGATTTTAGGATTTGTCTACCAAGAAAACAAACTAAAAAGTGAGACCTGAACTCACGCTATGAATATACCAAGAGTAGACCTGCCCCGGGACTATGATCATCAGGACAGAACAGTTCCGGGGGGTTTTTCAGCCAGACCAGCCAGAGCCGGCATCTGGCACAGGCAACCAGCCAGTGGGGAGAATGCATTTTGTTTAGTTGGTTTTAAGCATTTCCTTGTGATTTGGTGAAAACGTACAGGGCACATTGGTTTCCCATTAGGCAGTACATGCACATTTTGTTTCATGATATTAGTTACAATTCCTTCAGTGGAACAGCACGTTTCCACCTTCCTACCTGGACTCCCCATTTCCGTTCTTTATTTCCTGCATCTTCCTGCCTTCTGAACTTTGTTTTTGAGCAAATGCAGCGAGAGCCCTGGTTACGTGCTCAGCTGCTAACCAAAAGGTTTTTGGTTCAAACCCACCAGAGATGAGGCAGTCTCCATCCTTAAAGATGACAGCCTGGGAAGCCCTGTGGGGCAGTTCTACTCCGTACTACAGGCTCACTATGAGTCACAATCCACTCCACAGTGGTGGCTTTGGGTTTCCTTACGGGGTGGGGGGACTGGTGTTAGTAGCCTTGTAATCTTGGCGGATTGCCACCCCTTTGAGCTTCCATTTCCTGTTTGCGGGTGAGGGTCGAAAGCAGACTCGTGAGGGGCTCTGCCCCTAGGTAGTGGGAGGGTCCACCTCGTGCTACCCGTGAGGTCCCTGGAACTGGCCCTTCTCCACCCACAGCCAACAACATCTGCTTCTATGGCGAATGTTCCTACTACTGCTCTACGGAGCATGCGCTATGTGGGAAACCAGACCAGATCGAGGGCTCGCTGGCGGCTTTTCTTCCTGACCTGTCACTGGCCAAGAGGAAGACTTGGAGGAACCCCTGGCGGCGCTCCTACCACAAGCGCAAGAAGGCCGAGTGAGTGGGGCAACAGGGGACCCTGGGAGGGCTAGCTTTCACGGGAAATTGAGCTGGGGGTGCCGGCCTCTGCAGTGGCTACGCACGCAGGTGGAACAGGGCATCAAAGTGGTGCAAACTGCCCCATCTGATGCTGGTTTCAGGCAACACCCTTTCCAGATTAGCCCCCCAGCAAGGGATCCCTCACTCTGGGACTTGAGTCCCCAGAATCCCTGACACGACCCTCTCAGCTTGTCCCTTGAGCAGCAGAGATTCTGCAGGTGCCCAAGCATGGTTCCAGGCTTGCTTGTAGTGTGACCCCAGGTGTGGCCAGTCCAGGACAGAGTGAGGTGGCCCCATCACCTCCTAGTCCCATGCTCCTGTTAATGCGATCTCCTCCCTGCTGCTGACCCACATTTATCTGTGAAGTGAGTCCTTCAGCTGCAGCTGAAATTCACTGGTTCTGGGTCCCATGTGGCTAGAGGGGCGGTCCTAGATTTTGACCTCAGCCGGAGCCCCTTTCCCCTACTCACACTGGCCCTCACAGGTGGGAGGTGGACCCAGACTACTGCGAGGAAGTGAAGCAGACACCACCCTACGATAGCCCCCACCGAATCTTGGACCTCATGGACATGACCATCTTCGATTTCCTCATGGGTACGCTCTGGATATGGGTGAGGACTTGGCTGTTGGGGTCTCAGCGTCCCCAAGAGGGAGGTTTCTGCCCCCTGAGTTCCCAGGTGGAGAGCTAGAGGTCACACAGGGGGCCTGGAGCTCAGGTGGAGGGGAGGGCACCCTAATCTGGGCTGGAGCGGGACCCGTAACACACAACCCCCACCCTGATTTATCCCCTGCCCAGGAAACATGGATCGCCACCACTATGAGACCTTTGAGAAGTTTGGAAATGAGACGTTCATCATCCACTTGGACAACGGAAGAGGGTGAGCCACACTGACCCCCGATCTGAGGAGTATGCCTGTCCCCAGCCCTACCCCCAGTTAGCTGGGGACAGATACCTGTCAGCCAGGCCTCTGCAGAGACGCAGCTGCACATGTGTGTCCACTGTGTGAGCCCTTCACACATGTGTCCTCTGAGTGAGCCCATCACATGTGTGTTCACTGTGTGTCCATGGTGTCCCTCACATGTGTGTCCTCTTATGTGTCTGCTGTATGTGTCCCTACATGTGTGTGTCCACGGTGTTCCTCACATGTGTGTCCTCTATGTGTCTGCTGTATGTGTCCCTACATATGTGTCCACTGTGTGTGTCCACTGTGTCCCTCACATGTTTCCTCACATACATGTCCTCTCTGCAGGTTTGGGAAGCACTCCCATGATGAGCTCTCTATCCTGGTGCCTTTACAGCAATGCTGCAGGTATGGCCCTGACAGACTCATGTGGAGAGAGCATTCCCCCATGGACATGTGCAAGAGGGGGTCCCTCCATGAATACGTGTGGAGAGGGGGTCCCCAGTCCCAAGCCCAATGTGCATTGACTCTACCCACGGGGCACAAAACCCTTTCCAAGGACACAGCACCCAGGAAACAAAGCATTGCCCCATTTTACAGATGCAGACGCTGAGGCCCAGAGTTGGTTTCTATCTTAGGGTGCATTTACGATGGGTGCCAAGAGCAGCTTCCCCAGTTTCCCCCACTCTACAGTTGGATAGCAGGTCTGTGACCTTTGCTGTGGGCTTAGCATATCTCAGAGCATCCAGCTATTTAGGCAGATGTGTAGGTGAGGGGTCAGTCCCTGGTCACCACCCCTGGGTGTGTCCCAGGGCTACCCTGCGCAGCTGAGCATTCTCCATGTCCAGCATCTAGCAGCCTGGGCACCCCCTTCCCATTGTAGGGGCCACACCTCCTCTCCCCCCCCTACAGAGACCTGACCTCCCTCTCCTCTCCTCCTACAAAGGCTTGATCCCCTCTCCCCCCTGAAGAGGTCTGACCTCCTTCCCCTCCCCCCCTACAAAGGCTTGATCCCCTCTCCCTCCTGTAGAGGTCTGACCTCTCCCTTTCCCCCCTGCAGAGGCCTGCCCTCCCTCCTCTTCCCCTCTGCAGAGGCTTGACCTTCCCCTCTCTCCCATGCAGAGACCTGGTCTCCCTCTCTTCTCCCCCTTCCCCCTGCTAGGGGCCTGACCTTCCTCCCTCTCCCTCCTAGGATCAGGAGGTCCACCTACCTACGGCTGCAGCTCCTGGCCAAGGAGGAGTACAAGCTGAGCCTCTTGATGGCCGAGTCTCTGCGGAGGGACCGGGTAGCCCCAGTTCTCTACCCGCTGCACCTGGAGGCGCTGGACAGGCGGCTGCGCTTGGTACTGCGTGCTGTGGGGGACTGCGTGGAGAAGAACGGAATCCGCAGCGTGGTGGAAGATGACCTAGGTTCAGATCGCACTGCCGCCACCTCCACGGCCACGAGGTAGTGACCTGCCTTCCTGGGACCCAGCAGGAGGCTGGACTGCCCTGCAAGACACGATTCACTTGGGTGAGTTCAGGGAATTCAGAGGCATGCAATCCCTCTGGAGGCGAGGAGTGACAGAACCCGAGGGGTCCTCCAAGTGGACGCAGATCCAGCGAGAAGGACAGGCCGATGTCTGCGCTCATGGACGGAGGTGGCTGCAGCCGCCCACCCACCCTTTTGTAGAGAAGGAAGCGTTTGCTTAGGATTTTGTATTTATAAGTATCTGTATTATAAAACATCTACAGACGTCGATCGCCTACTGTTAATCCCCGGGGTCACTCTCTGTGTCACATTGCACACCGAGAGCCCAGGCACAGAACTGCAGATAGACTGCCTCCCACCTTCCCACCTCTCTACTCTGAGCATTTGTCTGACCGCTGGAGAGACCCCAGGTGGATGCCCGGGACTGATGGACAGGTGGACAGATGAACCCTGAGTGCAGTTTTAAGAGGGACGCCAACCACCAGCGCTCTTCGTCGATGCCCAGCAGGCAATGCCCAGGGCCTCCGCAGGCGACCTTGCCTGGGACTCAGCTTGGACATTGCGGTGTAAATAGATCCGCAGCAGTAGGGCGGCCTTGGCAGCGTTGTGTGGGGTGTTTTACAATGTAGTTAACGTGCAATAAAAGTACGACATGTGCTTGGGCTGCCTCTGGGGTATGGGTGGTCGCCTGCCTGCTGGCCTTCTTGCCCAAGTTCCTAAAATCCAGTCCTGGACCCAGACATAACTGGGAGTCTCTGAGTAAACAGGGAGACTTCTTGGAGTCAGTTCTGAGCTTTCTGGAGCTGGGGACAGGCATGGGGCGCTTGGATGTGGTGCTCTGTAAAGCCTGGGGGCAGACTCTGTGGTCACCGGCAGGCCCAGAGGCTGGCATTCTGTACACCCAGGCACCGTGTGGCTAGCGAGGTGTTTACCCACAGGGGCCAGGGTGGCGGGGCCTACTGGCTCAGGGCCCCACCCACAACACTTTTCTCCAGCACCGTGCCTGAACAACTTTCAGGGGCCCTGTTAGGGCTCCAGGACACCCCCACCAGACCTATAAAAATATCTGCAGTGTGGTGGTACTACACTGGCTCTTTCGGGGGGCAATGAGGGGGAAAGGGGTGTTCCCACACCTCAGGTTCTTGGTAAGACAGTCTCCAAGCAGGGCATGAGAGTTCTGAGCTAGCAGGATTACTGTACCCCTCCCCCTACACACACACATCTTTTTTAGAAGACACTAATTAACCCTCCACTAACTTGTATGGGGTCCATGTCTCTAAAGCAAAATGCACAGTTATTTTCACTGTCTTCCAGGTGGGGAGGCAAAGGCACAGAAAGGGGATTCCCCCGGCGCTAAGTTGTTTAGGTCCCGGGAGCAGCCAGAAGGGAGCAGAGTCCCACCCTGGGTGGGTCCCATGTCCCCACCACCACCCACCCCGGGCTGCAGGCAGGGCCGTGCTGAGACATCTGTATCTGGTCACATCTCAGTTGATAAATCCCAACCCAAGCCACTGCTGTTGAGTGATTCTGACTCTGAGTGATCCTGTAGGGTGGGGTAGGACGGCCCCCACAGGGTCTCTGGGCTTTACGGGAACAGGTGCCACAGCTTTCTCCTTCCAAGTAGCTGGCGCATTAACCCAGGTGCCAAAAGAGTATGTAAATGCTCAGCATGTATGGCAAACACCTAAGCAATTCCTGTGTGCTAGGCACAGTTCTATGCACTTTATGTTGTTTTTCTGTGCTGTGGAGTCGGTTCTGCCTCATAGCGACCCTGTACAGGGTTTCTGAGGCTGTAAATCTTTATAGGAGCAGAAAGCCTCATCTTTCTCTCGCAGATCGGCTGGTAGTTTTGAGAACTGCTGACCTTGAGGTTCACAGCCCAATTCGTAACTCTGGTAGCGTAGTGGTTACGAATCAGGCTGCGAACCTTAAGTTCAGCGGTTCGAAACTACCAGCCGCTCTGCGGGAGAAAGATGAGGCTTTCTACTCCCGTAAGAGCAGACCCCCTGAAGTTGGACACTAGAAAGTAGAAGCAGTCTCTGGGGCTTCAAGCAGTTTGAACTGCTACTAACCCACCTAGCAGCGTCCTGGAAGAACATTTTGGTGGTCTGCTTTTGAAAAATGTCAAGACAATACTATGGCGCTGTTCTACCCTCACAGAATGATTCACCTCCCGTCGGGAGATCAGTGTATGCACCATGCTTCTCTGTATGGCACCAACCTACCTCTATTTTAAAAAGATTTGGAAGGATGCACCCTAAATTAATAATAGTGACTGCCTCTGTGGAGGGAAGCAAGCAAATTTTAGCCATAGTGTTTAAGTTTTGTATGATAATTATTTAAAGTTGTTGTTGTAGTTAGGTGCCATCAAGTCATACCAACTCATAGCAACCCTGTGTACAATAAAACGAAACACTGCCCGATCCTGGGCTAACCTCACAGTTGTTGCTACACCTGAGCCCATTTCTTCAAACCACTGTGCCAATCCATCTCATTGGGGGTCTTCCTTGTTTTCGCAGACGCTTCACTTTATCAAACATGATATCCTCCAGGGACTGGTCCCTCCTGACATCATGTCCAAAGTATGAGAGACAAAGTCTGCCACATCCTGCCTTCCAAGGAACATTCTGGATGCACTTCTTCCAACACAGATCTGTTTGTTCTTTTGGCAGCCCATGGTACTTTTAATGTTCTCCTCTAACACCATAACTCAAATGCATCATTTCTTCTACAGTCTTGCTTATTCACTGTCCAACTTTCACATGCATATGAGGTTATTGAAAATACCATGGCTTTGGTCAATTGCACCTTAATCCTCAAGTTGACATCTTTGTTCTTCAACACTTTAAAGAGGTCTTTAAAGAGGTCTTGTGTAGCAGATGTGTTTGATTTCTTGATTGCTGCTTCCATGAGTGTTGATGGTTGATTCAAGCAAAATGAAGTCTTTGACAACTTCAATCTTTTCTCCATTTATATGGATGTTATTTATTGGTCCAGTGGTGAGGATTTTTGTTTGCTTTACATTGAGGTGCAACCCATACCGAAGCTGTGGTCTTTGATCTTCATCAATAAGTATTTTGAGTCCTCTTCATTTCCAGAATTTTTTAAAGAGGAGGTTTCAAAAAGCTAGTGGGGAGATGGAATGAAAAGAAAGTGGGATTTTTCCATGAACTTTTTTAATCCCCCTCATATTGTGCAAGGAGCTCTGGTAGCATAGTGGTTATGAATTGGGCTGCGAACCGCAAAGTCAGCAGTTCGAAACTACCAGCTGCTCAATGGAAGAAAGATGAGGCTTTCTGCTCCCGTTAAGATTTGCAGCCTTGGAAACCCTGTACAAGGTCACTATGATTTGGAAACGACTCCACGGCACATAACAACAACAACAACACATTTGTGCATTTTTTGTGCGTTAAAAATACCAGGTGAGTATACATTGATTACTGTGTTCATTTCTTTTGCTGTGCATCGCCACAAACTTAGAACATCAGGCATCTCTGTGCATCACCACAAACTTAGAACACCAGGCATCTCTGTCCAGTGTGTTGCATGGCTGCAATCAGGGTGTCAGCTGGGCCACATTTTCTCCTAGAAGCTTCAAGAAAAATCAGCTTCCAGTCTCATTCTTGTTGTACGCAGAATTCAGTCCTTTAAGGTTGTAAGACATAGGTCCTACTTTCTTGCTGTCTGCCAGCAGAGGCCGACTCATAGAGACCCTGTGAGCAGCTGCTGGGTTTGAACAGCATGCAGTCCAATATTTATCCTACAGCGCCACACCATGACTCCCTAGGGAGCACAGACTTCCTGTTGAAGGAACTTAATAAAAATAGGGAAACATATAATGCTGAAAGTTACACAACACAATGAATGGAGTTAATGCCTCTGCATTGTATATGTAAAAAAAGTTAAAAGAGTTGGGCCCAGGTGACTAGATGGGAATGGTGGTGTTGTTAGGTGCCACCGAGTTGGTTCTGTATCATGGCGACCCTCAACATTCATCAGAAGATGCCATCTGGCCTGGCACCATCCTCACAAGTGTTGCTGTGTTTGAGCCCATTGTGCTGACCCAGTGGTCATTCTTGATTTGTGAATGGCATTAAAGGCAAGCTCTGTAGCCTTGCTCTCCAATGAATGAGAAGAGCTGCGGCTCCAGCCACCAGGGACACCAGCAGGCCTGAGGGACCCCATCTCGTCTTCAGATGGCTATAGCCATGGTCAATATCTCCACTGCACTGAGAAACCCAGAGCCAGAGCTACCCAGTTCCAGCACCCCCACTACCCTCCCCCCAGGATCCATGAGACGGAGTGCTATACAGACCACCCTTCCCCCAACTCTTCACACTTCACCCCTTTACCACAGCGAGAGCTCTTTCCAAGTCATTCAGTCCCCAGCTGCCTGTCCCTGATGCTGGGGCAAGTGTGGGGCAAAGAAGGCTTCACCCCACTGGAACTTTCTCAGACAGGACCCTAATGTCCCCTATATGGGGGGTCTTGCATTTCTCCTCAGGGCCCACACAGGGGTTCCAATAAGAAGGAAGGGGTCTATAGGTTGGCCTGGGAGCTGTCTATAGGAGGCTGTGGCCCCCCAGTGGTCACAGGACACAGTGCCCATGAAGGCCCAGGTCAGTGGGTATGAAGCCCATGGGATCCTGGGTTGGGGAACACAGCACCATAAATGCCCCACTCAGGGGGCATGGCATCTGTGAGGGCCCAGGTCCGGGGACAGCTGGATTGCCACAGGGGAGAACAGATCAGCCCCAAATCTTTCCTCCACCCTGTCCCAGTGGGTTGGGGGCTCACAGACAAAGACAGAACCTCCTCAACAAGTCTGGCTCCAGGATGTGTTTCCTGGGTGGCCTGCTGGGAAGGGGCCCCAGAGCCCCAAACACCTGCCAGGGCTGAGCCCCTCTCGCCATCTAGTGGCCAATTAAAGAACAGCAAGAGGGCCTATTCAATAGATTGTTGTTAGGTGACATGAA